TAAGTGCTTCTACTCCCCACAGGTGCTGGGAAAGACATGTCCTTGCTTTCAGTCAGAGACGATATTATCACCTGCCCTTAGCAATGTTATTTTCTTTCCCGCTGAGCTTAGGCAATACTGCAACATGCCTAAACAGTGCATCCACAACAAGTAATGGCATCATCTTGCTTTCAAAACAAACTTGTGGTGGGTGGAATTAGCCATGCTGAATGATGCTGACCTGATTGATAACAATCAGTGAAGAAACTACTTTAGCTATTCAGTCATTCACCTCTGGTCACCCTCATTTTAGGGAGAGTGGGAGCTAGTAGTACTCTACGTCATCATACCACCACAAGGAAGAACTACTAGCATTTTTTAATCAAATATCCATATAAACAGGTCATTGTTAAAGAACTGCAGCGAAAGAGGGGTATTTCCACATCACCTGATGTGGTTGTCCCTAATCTGTCCTTCTTCAGTTTCTTTCTGCCCTCTGCCCCTAATGCAAATCTTGCTGCTTCCCTGAACAACAAATACCACAAAACACCTGTGCTCTTTGCACAGGGTATTTCCTTTCTGAGCTAAAAGGATAACTGACTGAAGAGAAAAGCACCTGGTTTGTGGTAAAGTTTGAGTTTTGCTTATTACGTATGTCCAGATTTGCAGAAGTGTGTGAGCATGATTTCAAAGAACATACAACTGGCTCTGCTGTCTTCAAGTCTGATCATCTTCTGCTTGTCCAGTGGAGAGCTGGCTTAAGCGCAATGTATTAGTTCAGAGCTACACGATGCATCAAACATTAAGTGGAAGAGTTAGGCCTTCCTATGTCCTTCGTTTCTCCACAAAGAAAATTATTATAGGTGGGACAAAACCCAAAGTATATCATAGAATTGTAGAATCCTTAGGGTTGGAAGGGACCTTTAAATGTAATGTAACCCAACACACCTGTGCTGAACAGGGACACCACAGCTACATCAGGTTGCTCAGGACCTTATCCAGCCTCGTCCTGAAAGTCTCCAGGGATGGCACATCAACTACATCTCTGGGCAACCTGTGCCAGTGCCTCACCATCCTCACTGTAAAAGACTTTTTACTTAAATCCAGTCTAAATCTACCCTCTTAGAACTTGAAGCCATTTCCCACTTGTTCTGTCACCACAGATCCTGCTGAAGAGTCTGTCCCCTTCTTTCCTGTAGAAGTAGTGTACACAGTATATGCTTTAGGCTGCCTTATGTCCTCCATCCCATAACCCTCCCCCTTATCTGGGGTTATCTCTCTTTGAGAGGGCTGATTTTTCCCCCAGGAATCTGAGCTAAAAGACTGAGGAGAGGGCCAAGTTTGTGTAGTGGAAGAACTTGTCCAAAGAAGCAATGTTCTAGCCTTTAGGTGTTGTAGGATCTTCTGTAGGACATGGGTGGCAGGACCTTGTGGTTAGAGGAAGGTTGGTTTGTGTCCTGATAGAGTGAAGGCTGAACAGAAGTTGAAGTGGGAGAGGAGAACATTATCAGAGACTAGACTTCAGTGTCAGGATGCTGGGGAATCTGTGCTAGGAGGCAGGAGCTGGAATAAAGCACAGGTCTGAGCTGTAAAAAGGCAGGAGCTGGGCAAAAGGCAACAGGCTGGTGCCTGGCAGAGAAGCCGAGGGCACCTGGTGAAGATTGTGTTGTGGCTGGAGAGTTGTACGGCTAATCCTCAGCTGTCTGATCTTGTTAGACCTTAGATGCTAGAGTGGTTGAGTGCTGCCAAAAGCCGGGTTTATAGCCCTGGCTGGGGGAAGGTCAGCTGAAAATGGCAAGAACTTCAGCTGCAGCGACACAGAAGCTAGGGCTTAAGAAGGCAGGGCTGGAAGAAAGGTGTTTACTGACCTCTTACATCCAACTCCAGGGTGTCAAGCCTGCAGAGAGCACACAGAAGAGCACTTTACTGCCTTGAGTACACACTACTCTCATGCACAGAATGGAAACCAAGCTAGAGAGTCCTACAGTTCTGCTGCTGCCAACAAAGCCTCCTGAGAAGTGCTAATTGCACATCTGCTTACATATATATTGGTATAAGTGATGCCAAAATATGTATACATGTTAAATACAAGTATATCTTACAGTGTATCTTAAAGTACACAGAAGTGTAAAGACAGCTTTCTATATTTTCCCTAAAAGAACCAGTCTTAATCTCAATCATCTCTTGTCTAAGATGATGCCTTTGAGACTGGAACTCTGTTTCAACTTAGTCTGCAAAGCTCATGTTACAAAGTGAAACAAGTGGTTGAAAGCAAGCTGCAATCAGCTATTCCTCCAGTTTGGCTATGAGCAGAAGCAGCAGGATTTCACTTGCAGACATGCTGCAGGCTTTTTGACGTAGCTTAATGTGGTGGCATCTGTCCTTAAAATTACTGAGTGCTGTATAACTCTGAGTGCAGGGAAAGCTCAGGCTCAGAGTGTTTCGCACTCCCAGTTGCAGTACCTAAACTGTTTATATTTTCTCTTGCTTTAGGATTTTGTGGAGCTTGGTGAACCCACTTGGCAAATACTCTGAGGCATTAGTGATGGGGAGTTCAGAAAATGCTGTGAAATAATCGCTTTTTAGAGAAAGGCTGGAGCAACAAGCAGCACACAAAGCCTGCAGCCATGTGATCACAGGTGCAGAATAGACCAAAGACCAAAACAGCAGCGCGTTGGCAACCTTGTACTCTGAGTGAGGTAAGAATTTATAAAGTAGGCAATTAGAGATTATTTCCCAAGGCAGACACATAAGGATGATGATGTAAGGCCACAGGTGGCTTTAATCATAGCATTTCCTAACTTTGGACTCTGCACCTCCATTAATGTTGTTTTTAAGGAGTGCATTATACACTGTAAGGAGTTGATACTGATGATCAAACGGCAGCTCTTTGAGCAGGATTTATCTGGAACGAGGGCAGGCTCTGCATGAAAACCCACTCTCCAGACACTCCTCGCACAGGCACTGGTTAAGGATTTGGTACTTCTGTAGCAAGGCTTCACATCAAGTAGCATTCACAAAAGGAAGGAAAAAGGCTTATTCTTCAGAGATATATACCCCTATTCCCATTGCATTTATATCAAGGAAACTAACAACACCTAATGGCTTTGACCAGTCTCATCTGGGTCCTCTTCCCACCCTGCCCCTGAGCTCAGACAACCCATTTCAGCTTGGCCTGGGGCTGCCAGTGCCTGCCTGACCCATGCTGTAGGTGTGATTGCTTCCTGTCCTGTCTCCCAGATGGCCCTAAGATCTGTGGTATAGCTAACATGTCTCCAGCCTTACCTCCTAGATGGAGCCCTTGGACCCACGCTATAGTTCTGTCAGCTCTATTACTTACCCTTTCTTCCTTAGCTCATGATGGAACCCTCTAGGTGGACCCTGGCCCTGGCTCATCCCCTTACCCTTTTGGGGCAGTCAGTCAGCCTCTTCCGAGCCCACTCACTGTGCTTGGCTCCTGGAGGATGATGTCTATCAGTGAGAGCATGGCCAAGGCTGGGGTCACCTTTGGTGCCCAGTTCCCCATCTCCAAGTGTGCTGTTGGCTCTTCTTTAATCCCAACACCCTCCAGTGGAATAGGAAGTGACATTCCTCCTTAATTCCTTGGAATTTTAATATGGGCTCTTTGAAACCCTCTGTGGTAAGCTCTGCTCATTATGGTACCTTCTGAGCAGGTTTTGTGCACATTGGGGCAGCTGGGCCATCCTTATCGTAGTCAGGAAGAGAAGGCATGGAAACCTTTCTCTGATCCACTAGCTGGCAAATGCTACGCTTTTGCTATGGTTCAACCCTCTGCTGTGCCATCACACCTTGAAGCTTTGCTGCTAGAAGACAAAATGCTCTCCGAAATTCTTCCTGACAGCTGCTGACCACACTGATAAAGCGGGTATTTGGGTTGGCTGTGCACAATGCCTGCCTGTTTGCCAGTTTTCCTGCTCACTGGGCATAACACCACGGGTCAATGTATAACTTGGGGTAATGGTTTCAGATGACACCAAGAGCAATGAAGAAACATTCCACATGAAACTGCGTATGCAGCATGGTTTTGGAGGATAAGGGGAAGGCTTGAGTTGAGAATCCAACTTGCTCAGTTAGAGCTAACTTGATCCCAAATAGATTCAGATTCTTGGTGGTTTAGAAGCACAAACTTACCAGTTTTCCTCTCTACATGTGTCTCCCTCTTTCTGGGCTAATCTGCAGGAGCAGAGAGAGAGTATGAGAAATGTTCACTAGGATAGTCCCAAATTGTTCTATCTAAAAAAGGGATATTGGGACTCCCAAAGAGACTGCACTCCCTTGTGACACGAAGCCCTTGTGGGCAGCAGGAAATTTTGACCATTCTTGGAAAAAGACAGAGCTAGATAGAAATGGCCTCAGAAATTTGCCATAAAAATTAAACCTTGGAGATTTTGTTCTAATAGTTAAGCATATCCAAACTTGCTGCTGCTTGACTGCCTCTGCCTCTCTCTGTCTCCCTTCCTTGTGCCCCTGCCATTTGCCCTGCATCTCTGCCTTCTCATTCATCAATCACTGCTCCTCATCTAATCAAAGCCTCTGGCACGGCTGCGGGCCACATGGCACCAACCCCACTGGGCCAGTGCCAGTAACGTCTGGGAGCTTGCCAGTTTGCATTGGCTGCAGCCACATATTTAAGTTTCTTTTACATTTTTGTGATGATACATCATATGGATTTTATTTTATTTTTCTTTCTCTACATCTCTGGAACAGTAATTTAAGACCAGTCCTTGTGGCTCTTCTTGGTTCACTGATTTACTCCTGTAGGTCTGTTTCACTGGATCCCACTAATCACTAGATTCTGAGCTTTTGAGGAAACAATAAAAAGGGCTTTATAAAGCTCCTTACCAAGGTGACCCCCCTGTCCTGTCCAAGGTGCAGGCAAATGCCAGCAAAAGGCAAACAAAGGGAAAATAACTTTGACTTCAAATAGTCCTTGAAGCCGGTTCTTACAGCACTTCATTAGTATATGCCAGTGTAAGGTGACACTGTCATTCTGCTTTGCTTTGTGTTAGCAGCAAGTTTGGTGATGCTTCCTTGCTCTTGTGATCCATCATATATCTTGTGATATTTATTGCTTTATAAATGTTGGTGGTCACATGAGAATCTGAGCTGTTCGTTTCTATGCTGTTTCTAGGCCTCATGGTCAGACGGATATTTTAGGGCCCTCCTGTGAGCCTGAAGACAAGGATATCAGAAGACAAATAGACCTTCAGGTAGGCCAAGGTTTCTTTGTTTACCTGTTTTCTTGTACTTTTCAAAGCAAACTGCTTAAGTCATTCTAATCCAATGTCATGACTTGGGGAAGCTTGAATTGGGACTTTCCAAGCATGTGAGATTAGTTACAGACTATTTATGTTACAGCTCTGTTTTGCTCTCCTTGCTTATATGTCCTCCTTTGGCTTGTTCTTTATCCTGACGTTATGCTGCAAGTATTTTTTCCTCAAGCACAGTGAGTATAGACGCTGGATAGGAGACTGGGGAGTACATGGAGCACTCACCATTTTTTCTCACCCAAGGTTTTCTAGGGAAAGAACTGTTCTACAGTGAGTTTATGGGCAGCTTTGGAAAGTACAGCACAGAAGTTTTACTGAAGTTGTCCCACTTTCAGTCAACGCGGGGTTTTCCCCACCCCACAATTTCTAGCTCTCCCAAGCATGGAAGCTGGGAAACAATGGAAAAAATGAGGTAGCCTGCCCTTTCAGAAGACATTTTGTAATGTCACTCTGCTCGCCTTCCCACAGCCTGCAGGTGATGTTGATCGTGTTTACAGGAAATGCCATGAGTAATTTGCAAAGTGAAAGCAGCTTACACTGGGTGAGGGCCTGTCTGATGAGACAGAGCCATGCTGTGTTGCTGGGCTCATGAGTTGGAGAGGAGCAGTTTGGGGAAGAGGTTGTGTAATAATTCTTCCAATATTGGTGTATTGGAAGGACAGCTTGAGGCCAACGTGACTCTGTCAAAAGACCTTGCTTAGCATTGCCACCTTGCTAGAAGAAGCAAATTCTAGACCCTTTTTCACCTAATCCTTTTTGCCCTTACCCTGTTGTATGACTCCAGAATGCAGCACAGCCTCAGCCCAACAGAACATACCAGTTACTTCCTGAAGGTCTTGAAGCACCTCTGTCTCTCCCTACATATCCCTTCCCTCAGTACACTATCTGGGAAGCATAAGAGCCACAGTGCAGAAAAGGCTTGTGCATCCTGTGTAGATGCCTACAGCTCCTGGAGACAGCATGTGTCTGCTGAGCTCCCCAGGTAGTCCTGCTCATGGCTCAGTTCAATTCCTGAGTGTGCTGGGAGACCTCCTCCCTTCCCATGTTTCCTTGAAATCCTCTGTTTCTCATTCAGAGTGCAAATCTGGGTTATATCATGTAATTTTTTCCCAGTCTGGGAAATGCTAGTCTCTCCACTCACTCTTCGCATTACCCCACTGTCTGCTGTGGTTCCCAGGCTGGTTGTGCTTTTTTCCCAGACTGTGAAGACAGTGCTAGTGAAATTACACAAGGCACAAATCGGGAGGTTGGAGCAGAAGCCCAAAGATGTGCCTCCTAGCAGGATTTATCTGGGGAGCTCCTTCCCTGTCTGTAGGTAATCCTGATTAAATAGTGCATCACCTTTCCATCCTCACTGTGACCAGTTGCATGGGATACTGACAGAGCACTTGCCTCTGTAGGAGCCATCTTCCAACCATGTCCCTTTTCTTGTTCCTCAGCACAGATGTTCTTTTAGTACAATTTTGAGAGACTGATCTGTGCCTCCTGTGAGCAAACACGCTGTAGTTTACGCCTATGCTCTCCTGTGCTATTGTTCCCAGCCTGCTATCATTTCACATCAGCGTTCATTCCAACTTTCAGCTCCTTCTCATTACTGAGGTACGTGCACATTATTAGTACTTACAGACCCAGAACAGGGCCGGGTCTCTGTGCCAGGATCTGTAAGGAATGATCCTGCTAGGAAGCAAACACAGCCGAGTTCAACAAACTGAGCAAGCAGAGAGCGTACCCAATGTTCAGAGGCAAGGAAGCAGCTTGCTTTTGTGTGGCACTGGGCATTCCTGGCATTTCTCCCTGATCCTTGCAGAAAGAAAAGACGAAGAACATTCTGCACCTGTCCCAGAAGAACATTCAATGCAGTGTTTCCTCTTCTTCCCAGAGCGTAGCAACCTGCCAGGGACATGAAGGCACACAGAGGGAGGTGTAGAAACAAGGAGGAATGTGGAAGACGGAGGGCTTGAGGGAGATGGTGAGACCTGGAGAGTTGTGGGGGCACGTGGAAGGATATGGGGTGTTATGGAGGAACATGGAAGAATGCGTGGGGATATGGAGAGACACAGTAGGACGTACATATGGAGAGACATGGAGGGACATAGGGGAGTGTAGGTTCTGGGGCAGGTGAGGAGCCTGTAGCTGGATGAAGAGCCTCAGATTGATCAGGGAGGTTGCCCAAGATCAATTTCATGTACTGCTCACTGGGCTTGGAGCACAGAGAAGCCAGCTAGTGCTGTTTTGGCCACAGACTTAGAGTGTTTGTACCTTGCCCATTGTGAGGAGGAAACCTGCCTTCTGAGCAGGTACTTGGCTGACAGGGTTGGTATCTGTTCCATTCCTCTTTCCAGCAGAGCTTCTTTACCCAAACATTGTTTTCAATAAAAATGTTGAAAATGAATACAGTACAGACAACAGTGAAATGTCTATAGTCAAACTGCGCTGTGGGCTAAATCCACACTCAGTCATCAATGACTACCTGATGCACCATACCTACCAGAATTGGTTCTATCAGCTATTTGCTTAGCTGATGCTGCTCTGCAGGGCCATCATAGTAACATGCAAAAAATATCCTGAAATAAATGCAGTATTCTTATAGAATGTGAGCAAATCTGCATTCCATTTTCCATGGTTATTTAAAATATAATCCTTCTTTGACTTGGCCTGATAGCTGTGGCATGTGTGATGAGTCAAATGTCACAGAATTGCTTCTTATTATCTTACACAAAGAATAGGTATGAGCTTTGTCTCTCTTATGTCTCCCTTTGCCTTCATTTAAAAAGTTACAGAGTCTGCTATGCTGTGCTTACACTTATATGTAGGACTTAAGTGGTGATCTGTGTTTTTTTCCACAGCCAAAAAATTCATTGACCACTAAGTCTGAGTAAATCCCCATGTCTTTTTTTCAGGTCTCAGCTAAGGTATAACTATCTTGACCTTCTGGAGCCTTCCAGTTTTGCTTAGTTGAGAGTTTTCTTGTAGCTGGAATTATGTCTCCCAGTTATTCAGCTGCTCTGGCCACACTCTTTCCATTGAGTACCTGCTCCTACTGAGCCCAAAGGTTTTAAATGCCTTTCATCCTTATTATTATTATTATTATTATTAATATTATTTTGCCTGGTTCCATCATAAAGTGTCTTCTTCCAGATTCTTACTATCTGTTTGTCTAATATTTATACTCATTCCCTGGTCATAGTCACAGAACTGTGATAAATTCATCTTCTGGTTTCTTTAGGTTCCTTAGGATGTGTCTCAGTGGGCAGGTGAGGGCAGACACAAATTAACTGCACCCACACAATGTCGCTCAGGTTCCAGGCATTTCTAGCCCAGAAGCTGTGTGATTCTGCAGGCAGCACTGCACCAACATGGGGCAAAACCTGCAATTTGGCTCAATACCCACCTGGAGGTGGACACAAACAAACCTGTGAGTCCTGTACCAAGTCTGCATCTTGGCCTGCCTTCATCAGTTCACTTCATTTGGTACAACTTGGCTCTCAGTGAACCAGAAAGTGTGGGGCTTGCCAGAACTGAAGAATGTGTGAGTGTGTTTGTGGAGGTCAGGGAAAAACATATATATTTTTTTAAACCTGAAAAACTAGCTCATCTGTGCATCATAATAGGGATTTTGGAGTTAAGACTGTTGTGACGGTTGTGGGCTAGAGTCATTAGAGCAGTACTGCGCTACTGGGACATTTACAGGCTGCCTCCACACTTACCATTGCTCAGAAGACAGACATTCTCTTCTCCCTTTTGCTAAGCCTGCCTGAACTGGAGGGCTTTTGCATGACTGTGAAGGAAAGAGCGTAATTCTTCTTTATGATCTGCTTCAAGCAAAGCTACAGCAACCAAATGGACCGTGCTGTGCGAAACTCAACGTCATGTTCATGTGAGTTAAACATCCCCCTCTGGTGCTGGAGCAAACAATGGTAAACACCAGCAGCTGAAAGTGGGTGGTTTTTTTTTTCTTTCTTCCTGGCAACAGCCCAGCAGACTGATGGAGATCAAAAATTACCTTATCACCTGAAGGTCTGCGGAGAAGCCAGGAGATGTTGAAACCTCCCACCACCTCCAACATCAAAGGCTGCAGCAGGTATCTTTCCAGGTGCTTTTTCACAGCCAGCCTCAGTGAAAGCTCCCATTCAAAAAGCAGTAACTCAGGAACATTAGGTGTAGCTTCTGGTGGCTGAACCGGTTAAAGTTACCCTTCAGTGTCACCAGAATCGCACACTGAAAGGGGAAATTCAAGGAGGAAAACAAAAGAGTCCTACCTAGGGGATTGGCTGCTTTACAGGGGCTGGTAATGAGATCATACTGCCGTGATTCAAGGTCACAAATTTGACTTCAGATAAGGTGTAGCAACAGCCTTGATCTGTAATGGTGGCTGTTCAGCAGCCTGTGTGAAATTAATGGATAGTCTCTTGTAGCCTTTTAATTTAACAAGGTGATTGCTATAAGTTTTGTAAAAAATATCACCAAACACAACTACTAAAATGAGCTGACATGTGATACTGAATAACAAAGTTCAGTGAAGTCTTTTGTACTGATGCATTGAATGATGATGTATTCACACCGCTTTGCTGTTCTTTGTTGGAGCTTTAGGGCAGAGATGTTAACAAAGCACGTTCTGTATATTTGCAACATAACAAAAAAAAAGCTTTTTTTTTTTCCTGTAGGGCATGTGACTCTATTTCATGTGACTCTAACTTTAGACATCCCATAAGGTAGCAGCATTATCCAGAAACTTGTCTTGTTCTATCTTACATCTTACTGAGAACACCTTGTCTGAAAAGATGCAGGCTGCTTTCTGCTCTGTACCTTTGTGCAGGGAGAATTCAGAGTTCCTGGTGCAGTCCCGTTGTGCTGTGGTAACCTCCTTTAGAGTTCTCTGTATTAAAGATGAAGGTATTGGTAACATTCAATTTTGGCTTTCATATATATATTTTACCTATTGTAAAGTACTTTCTGTACTGTTGTACTGCAGCAGCCTATTCATTTATGTGCTTTTAGGCGCCTTTGGGTAACAGAAATTACACCTATCAGCCACAATGGAAAGACAGACCAAAAACAAACCTGTCAGATCTCTAATTTCTGTAAAAGCAGGGGGGAAAAAAGAGTCTGAAAATGGTACCCTCTACTTTCTGGTGATCTTATGCATTCATCAACAAGGTGCCCCAAATCCATTCTTAACTACAGCTACAATCTTTTTTAATAAGGGTATCTCCTGGGTACTGATGAAAGACTTGTAGGATGTCTTTATTATTATTAAATCTCTGATAAGTTAATTTTGGTTCTGGCAAATATTCCTATGATTTACTCTTGGCAAACAAAAAAGCTGCTCTAGCTTGTTGCTGTAGGTGCAGTCCTGATGCCTCATTCTGTGTATAAAACAGAGATTTTGAATACTGGAGAATCTGCAGTCCAAAAAAAACCTGCTAGGGAGCAGAAGACACACTAGTAGGTGACAAAAACAGAGTTCGCTGACTGCAGTTTGCAAAATGCCGTGGATTATTTCTGTTTATTGCCTAGGACTGTACAAGAAGATCAGAATTTAAGCTTGGACATTCTTGGATATTTTCCCCATGAGATTTGCGTCTGTACAGAGAGAATGTTATAATATGCTTTCTTCTCCTTGGAGAAGGGATGATATCCCCTTGGCAACATGAGTGATCACTTAAATGGAACAATAACATTAAGCAAGTGTTTGCAGTTGTCCTTCAGGGTGCTTTAGCATCTGGAAACAAGAGAAAGAGTGGTAAGCATTTTGTGGGTAGGCAATTAGGAAGACAGAAATGTGCTTGGGAGAGAGAAGCATATGTCAGAAATGGATTTATTCCATAAAAAGAGTGAAAAACTCTTTTTTTTAAGTGAGCAGTTTGGGAGGATGTTCTGTAGGCGACTTATGATATGACTACTGAATGAGGGATTTGCCCCTTTCTCTGTGGTGTGAGCCATTGTCTGAGAAAAGACTTTGATCCGGTTCAGAGTCTGCCCAGGCATGGAATACCTCAGTCAGTGAGTGTCTCGGTGAGTGACGTTTCTGTGCTCAGTGCCTTCTCCCTGTCTTGGGAGGAAATGAATAACAACTACAGCTACCTCTTTGGCATCTCTGTGTGAAACAAGCTACGGGAGCATTTTCAGCTAAGGCTAAGGGGAAAGCTCCAGCACAAACAAGGAGTCTTGTACAGCAACTCTTGGACACAGTTGTCATTCAACTCAGAAGTAGCTCTCTGCAAGGTTTCTACTAACATTAACAATTTGTCCCTTGCACTGGTGGAAAGCTGGTGAGTTCTGTGAAGCCCTGGATCTGTAGTGGTCAGATGGAATTGTTGAGCCTCAGTGCACTTCACATAGTGCCATCACTTGCAGAATTATGGGCTTTAACTCAGCTCTGTGGGTTCATTCCTTGCTATCTCCCCACTGGCCTTTCTGGCTGTCACAAAACTCAGATTTTCACCCATGCAAAGTTCAAAGTGGCTGCTCACTGTGAGTTCCACTTTCCAAGGTAGAACTTTCCCTCAGACAAAAGTATGGAAGGTTGGTGCCTCCAGCAAGGAGCAGAGAAGGACTGGAGCACAGATCACACTGCAGTTAAAGAAAGCGATACTGTGATGAGGTCAAAACAAGCAGCTAAAATATGGAAGTCAGGCAACTTGGTCAAACTGGAGTTTGGCATAGAGAATGTGATAATGCCAATTTCATGTTCTGTCTTTTTCTTTGGTGCATCATTTTTTTTTCTGCCTTCCATGTTTTTATTCTTTTTTTTTTTTTTTTTTTTTTTTAAACAAGAGCTGTTTTGAAGGTCAAAACTTTAGGAGGCAGAACAGGTAGAGAAATTACAAATAATGTTGGAGTGATGCTCTAATGCCCATTCCTAAGAACCTGTGATGTAAAAAGTCTCAGAAGTCGCAGTTCAAGTGTTCTTTGCATGTCTAGCTTGTCCTATAGTGCTTTTGTTTTTCAGGATTCATGTCTGTATGTACTCAAATTTACATGCTGTTTTATGCATTCAGAAGAGTTACTTTCTCCCTTTTCTTTCACCTCGAATGGATGCTATGGTTTTATGTGGGAATGAGCAACACTTACGACAGGTAAGCTGACAAAAGCAGCAAAATCTTGGGTGTCTGCAACATGAACAGTTAGGCTGTTGTTTCCATGTCCCTGCTGAGGATGGGAAATGTTTTGCCATCACTCTTCCTACATACATAGTCCTAAAGTGTTCAGAAGGGCTAAATTTCTAGTGAAATGATCTTCAGGTAGTGTTGTCATGATAGAGAGAAGACGGACTCAGTTCTCATAGACCATAGTACAATACTGAGCTTGTAGCAGAGCTTCAGTAGGATGTTTTTAACAGTCTGAGATCTGGAAAGTCTTTTTTTCCTCAGTGGTCAGTTACTGCAAACAAAATGGCCTCCTCCTTCTTTTGTCAGGATTAATTCCTGCAATCCATACTGTACATTTCTCTGTGCTTGTCTGCTAACTAAGTAGAAAGTGCTAAGCAATCATGCATAATTCATTACTCTCAATTAAAATGCAAATTTATTGTCAGTCTTTTGGGGTAATTAAAGCACCATTGTGAGAATAGGTTTATGTTCTGTATCTTTTGCAAAAATAAATAATGTTTTATGTTCTGTTTGAAGAGGTGCAGTTGATCACCAAGTGGGACACAACTGAACGTCCAGAGAAGATCTTTCAGTTAGCACGTATCTAATATTCAACAGGGCATGAATCTACTTTGTTATAAAGTGAGCTGCCTTATTATCTGTGGAATTAGATGCTCGTGTTTTTGTTTTTGGCATAGATGGAAAGTATTATTTATAGGTATATTTCCACACTGCCCCCCAAAATACAGACTATTTTATTGGTCTCCAGCTATTCCTCAGAAGCCTACTCTAAACACATGACTTACCAGGTTGGGTCTTGCAGGTTAGATTAGGCTTCATAATTTATAACCTTGAAGTTCCCCGTGCAGTTGGGTATCTATGAAATGAAGGACTATGTGCAAGAAGAAAACAATCTTCTACAAGGATGGGGTAGTGAAAGGGTGCACAGTGTGAGACTTAGTAGCAATTGTAGTAGAATTGTCCTTGAAGATTTGCAGAATGTAGTGAAAGTGATCTTGAGATTGTGGATGAAGGGTGGATATTAGGAAACATTTCTTCTCAGAAAGAGTGGTGAGGCACTGGCATAGGCTGCCCATGGTGTGATAGAGTCACTGCCTCTTGAAATGTTCAAGAAAAGGGTGAATGTCACACTGAGTGGCATGGTCTAGAGCAGTTATAGGTTTGGCTTGATAGTTTGACTAGATGATCTTAGAGGTCTTTCCAATTTTAATGATTCTATGATTCTGTGATTCTATGAAGTGCAAAGAGCTCATGAAAGAAAACTGTTACAGGGTCATGCATGGGTAGAGAGAGGGAGAGGATTCCCACCTCCCCCTCACAAATTGCTATGGGATTGGAATTGTTTCACTACCACTCTTCTGCTTATTTCTTCTTTCTAACAAAAACTTGACCTCTCTGTCTGCATCCTGTCATTCTGTCTCTGCCTCCCATGGACAGGCAGACAGAAGGTCATTTCAGCTCCAGGGGAGGGTTTTGTTCTGAGCAGAAGCCTCTTAGACAGGGAAGGGAGGTGTTTTGCTGTGCCATCCCCTGAAGTCATGTTATTCTCACATCAAGGCTATGTGTGGCTCTGTCAGAAGGTCTGGCATTCATTACCTGCCTTCTGCCATAATCTTATGGCTTTAGAAATATGCAGGGAATTTCACGATCCACCCTTCTAGCCCAGTCAGCACACTCAGCCCCAGTCCAACCACCCAGGCCTGAGCGGGTCTCACTGGGCAGGCCAGGTGCGTGCTGGAGTGGCCCAGTATCAGCTCTGTCACTGTAGGCAGTGCAGAGTGAAGCTGATAGTGATCAACAGCACGTGTACAAGCTGCGAGGCTTTTGATGCTGGGGTTCATGTGTGTTGAGTTAGCCAGCACATCTTAATCAGATTTTCTTTTTTAAATGAAGATTTGAAGCGCTCTTATCTCCCCCATCCTTTCCCCTCCTTTGAACTCGTGCTTTGCTGACGTCTCCACAGACGCAGCCTTTCCCTCTGCCAGGCCCCAGCAGGGCCCAGCCACAGCGCCAACTCAGCTAGGCAAAATGGCGGGTGCTGCTAAGTGTGCTGGGACGGGCCTGGCACAGCTCTGGAACAAGGAGCTCATCATCCGCCACTGTGATGTTGGACCATATTTTACCAGTGGCACAGGGGGGATGGAAAAAGGACAGACAAAGCCCTTGGAAGAGGATCTGATGAATTCAATAACAGCCTGTCTGTTCTGGCCTTCCCTGAGCACCAGCCATTTCCTCATGGGTGCAGGGAGTCTCCAGAAAGCAAACCCTGAAACTCATCAGCTCTGCTTGCAAAATTCTGAGTCTTTGTCCTAACCACAAACACTTCACCAGCACCCCACCCGCCGCAGAACACAATAGCTCGTTCCCTCCATGCCTCTCCAAGCTTTTCACAGATACTAGTCAACATTTTCATGTTATTATTACAGCTTTACTTTATTACTCTCCATTTTTTAATAAAAATGCTCATGCTGCTTTGGTCCAATTCTTTATTTATGACCCATTCTGATTTAATAGCCACACGTAAGACTGCATTGAGGGAGAAAATGGATGTATTTGATTTGTTTCAGAATCATTTCTGAAACATTTTTCCAGCGGACTTAATGGCTTGCATCCTCCTGGGGAGGCTCAGGTACTGGCCAGTGTGTGCTGGCCTCGCTGTAGCACGGTCCACGATAACAGGTTCTCCCTCTGCAGCATGCCGTGCTTTTCTCCTGCCTCTCATTTCGTGTCTACAGGCATCTGTTGCCTGTGACAGCCAGGCACTATCGGTGGGTCAGGTCCTGCCTACAGCCTTCACGAGCACTTCATGTGTCTGGGGAGAGGCCTGGGCAAAGCCCAGGTGCCTGAGGGACGGGAGCTGAGCACACGCGATGGCTTCACGGTATTATCTCACAGCCACACCAGAATAATCTCTTAGGTGGATTATTTCCAAAGCCACAGCGAGAGCGTGCCATTTCCAGGGTCTCAGACAAAGTGCTCACGGAGCCGTTTCTCGTTTTGTTTGCCCACTGATGAAGATTAGGTAAAGGCCGTGTGTTACTCAGCCTCCGTTATGAAGACGCTCAGTGAGTGCCTGCAAAGGAGGAGCTCGCTTTTAGAGCCCAGAAGATTGTTAAGAGCCTGGCCATGATTCATACTGCTCCTGAACCCTCCGAGCAGTGTCAAGGGAGGAGGCAGCCATCTGACAACTGCTAGGTCAATCCCAAACAGCTTGCCAGGGAAGCCTATCAAGCCCCAGTAATTGGGTTTGATTTAAATCTTTCTCCTCATCACCCCTTCTGGGTTGAGTCATCTCCACTAAAGGCAAGAGAGGCTGTCTCTGGAGCAGCGCAGCCATGCTAGTACCTAGTAGCAAGTCACCATCGTTTTTATGTTTTATTATTTCCATCTCAATTTTGCTGCTCCATTGGAGTTGCAAGACGACAATAATCAAGGAAGCAGAGGCTTTTGAGCCCGCTTATTAGCCCCCCAGCTATCTGAAGGATAATGCATAGAGCTCTTTCCCCAGAATTGCAGTGGCTGCAGTGGCTGTCTGTGACACTACAGCAAAAGGTATATGAATCCTGACCCCTTGGGATTGCACATACCAAGGAAGCCATTTCACAGGGTATTTTTTCTTCATTTTGCTGTCTGTTTCTCACATCGAAAAAATGCAGCTCTTTACCTGAGGCTACAGGCTCATACAGGCTTCTCTTGTGACTAAGCAGCATACTGCTTTGCAATACAATGGTTTTTGTATTGCAAGGACAGGAGTGCATGGGGGAGCTGGCAGAATAACCTAGCCCTGATCTGATCTTTCAGTGTGTCTCGTTTTTGTTTTGGGACAGAAAATGTCAGCTTGCTGTTGCCTTGCTCATGGTCTCAGAGGAGGAGGGTGAGTGAGAAAGGTTATCACAGCAAAGAGAAATGGATCTCAATGACGGGCAGCAAAAGCTAGCTGGTTAAATTAATAAGCACTTCCTTTGGTACCATTCGAGGACGAGAAGTCTCATGGCATCAAAGGGAGAGAAATGGAATCTAGACTGCCCTGGGCTTTTGGGGGGAACGGGCAAAAAGGGAGGCTTCCTATGCAACATGTGGGAGAAATGGAGAAAGAGTGTTTTCTTCTGGACTTGGTGCTCGCCCTGTGTGTGTGAGGAAGGTTGCTATAAGCAATGCATGTGATCTTGCAGAATAAGAAGGATCACTGAACAGGTGACGCAGGAAAAGGAGGATTACACCGCATGTGATGGCAGAAGGAGGATGGAGCGTTCTTGCAAGCAGTGTAAGGATTGGGATTACTATGGGATTTTCTTGGGGATCTAGGTATAGTGAAGAAACTCTATCCCCTACCTTACACTTGGGACCTCTGAAAGGGCAAGTGAAAGGTCATGAGGAGCCATCTCATGTATATTAAAGAGCTTTGAAGTACTTGCTACTTCTCTAGCTGACTTAAGCAAATACTGTGCAAGAGAGTATGATTTTTGGGGCCATACCTAGCAAGGGTCACGTCTCCAGTGGCAGGAGAGAGTGAGGTGGGAAGCTCACTATAACCATGAATTGTTTCTTTAATTTAGTAGCAGTAACAAAACTTTCAATCTGGGAGAGGAAGGTTGTAAAGTTTGGCTGAAAGTTAATCTTAAGAAGTAGCAGCCTCTGTGATTAGTCCAGCAAAATGGTCAAATTTTGGCTGAGTTATGAGGTTTTGAAAATGAATAATTGCTGTTGTTTATATAACACCCACGCACAAACCATAAATGTTTGGCTGTTTGACCTTAGCCATGACCACAGAGATCTGCAGTAGATGCTGTTCACATTCTCCCTGTTACACTGCTCTGCTTCCTTCCAGCTGCCTCAGCAAGGCTGCTCCGGGAGGGATGCGCTGCAAGTGATACCAACAGCAGGGATAGGGACAGACTCAGCTGGAGAAAGGGGAAAGCAAAGCTGGAAAGGGGCCAGGCTGCAGAAAACATGGGAAAATCAAGGCTCACAGAACAGAAAAGGACAAAAAGACGAAATGAAAGGATAATTGCAGATGGGGAAATGATGCCAACAGAGAGGTAAGAGCAGCCTTTGTATTGTATGTACGGACTGTTTGCTATCTGCACATCGTTTCATAAAGGACATAGCACAATGCATGCGATGACAGTTGTACTGGCAGAGCAAGAGACAGAAAATTAGCAAACACTGAAGCAGAATTACAGATGGACAGTCAAATACCAGGAGGAAAAGAATGGGCAAAGAAAGCTGGGAGAAAAGAAGAATGGCTTCAATTAAAATAAAAAGGCTGTAAAAGAAAAAAAAAAAAAAAAGTTACATTCTTCATAAGGGTAAGGCTTATTTCCCCAGCGCTCTCCTTTGTCCCAGTTATGCTTCTCCTTTCACCTCCTGCCCAGGCTTTGTCCCTCCCTGCAAAAAGCCTCCCTTCCCAAAGCCTTTCACTGTGCACTCCTGCCACTCCCATCCTGTCTCCCCATCCACTGTCCCCTCCTTCCCTGTTCACTGTTCCTTCCTTTCCCTCTTGGTTCATCCACCAGGAGGAGGAAGATGGCCATCATCCATGCTGCCACTGGCCCTTCCCACCCCACAGCAGCATGCCAAGCTAAGCTGGAACCCATGATATCCTCATGCAAGGGGCTGACAAAGTAATAGCCCCCTTCTACCTCTGGGACACTGGGTGCTAGTGGCAGGGGCACAGCTGCCAGCAGGTCCTCTCCTCTGGTGGCATAGGACATGCAGGGGCAGGAGGGGATCTCCACAACAGCACAGCATGAGGTGCCAGCTGCACAGACGAAAGCAGGATTATCCCTCTGCTTGCCAGCAAGGATGAAATCTGACCACTGGCTACTGCTGCAGCATATGAGCTGATGCTTTAAAATATTTTTAAGCTGAAATGGAAAGTACTGTCCTGGTGTCAATTCAGGATGACCAAGTCCAAGCTGCATTTTGGGACGCTGGGAATGTCAGCTTTGGTACCCAAAGAACGTCAAAAAGAGGGTTTTCAGAAAACAGTATGGGAATAAATGGGCTGCTCTTCCCTTTCTCTTTAGTTCTGAGGAGAGCCAAGTGCAGGCCCACACCATGGCTGTCCTCAACACAGTGGGGTCTGCATAGCAAGAACAACTTCCAGAGGATTGCCTGGCTCTGTAATGGGTTTTGCAATGAGCCCTCCGCTCATACCCATGCTAGCTGCTATAAAACCAGCTTATTATGCATTAGGAATTCACTTATGGCACAGACAACTAGGCTGATCTACCTAAGACAAAGCAACTTTCATTTTCAGCCAATATGGACTGCAGTCAATGTGCATGAAGGCCTGCATGAGAGAGTGTTTTCCTTCATTTCTACCAGTTGAGTAGAAGCCAAATAGTTTCAGCTTGAGAAGTGAAGGCTCAGGGAGATCTTGTTAATACATAAAAATACCCGAAGGGAGAGTGCAAAGAGGATGGAGACAGGATCTTTTTGGTGGTGTCCAGTGACAAGATGAGGCAATGGGCACAAACTGACACACAGTAGTTTGTCTGAACATCAGGAAACACTTCTTCACTGTGAATGTGACCAAATAATGAAAAGGGTAGTCCAGAGAAATTGTGGAATCTCCTCCTTGAAGATTTTCAAGAGCTGCCTGGACATGGACCTGGGCAACCTGCTCTGGGTGTCCCTGCTTGAGCAAGTGATCACCAAAAAACTCTTCTCATCTCAGCCATTCTGTGTTTTTGTGATTCTTTGGCTGCTGGCACAGTGAACAACAACAGAAAAGTCTCTAGAAGGAACTGGGCAGTGTGGGGAGGCCTCTCTATGAGCTGTGCAGAAAGCTGGAGGAAGGATATAAAGGAGAAAAGAAAGGACAAAAAAGAAAAAAAACAACAACAGCAAAGAGTACACTTCCGATAGAAAGCAGGAGGGGGAAGAATTTAACTCAAGAAATTTCCACTCGGGTCTTAGTTTCTCCCTGTGCTGATGGAGAACAAGAAGGAAGCCCAAGCCCCAAGCGACTTTCCTTTGTTCATGCTCAAAAGGAAGCTTCCACCCTTCAGGCAGAACACCTGGTGTCAAACACCAAATCCCACAAGTTCTACTCAGACAAATTTCAGGTAATGGCTATGATAGCACTCCTGTGTGAGGATGCACACCAGCATTTGACCAGAGATGGTAGATAAATAGGTTAATTCTGCCAACAGTCAGAAATGTATGCAATTTGTTGTGGGAATTTGGGATTGTAACCACAGTGGCTGCAACAGACTCTGAGCTATCTCTGCTTAATTAGAAACATAGCTGGGTTTTGTCAAAGCAGGTAGATTCTCTGATGTCTGCGAATGGACTAAATTGCCTCTGTTTAGACTGCTCTTTTGGCCACCCTGACGGCTTGGAGTAAGAATCAGACTGGGCCCTGACATAAGCAAATATTATCTCCCAGTTACTCATTCACGGGATATATATGTTCCAACCTGCCACATGCTGTGCACGTATTTCCCATTACAGCTTTCCCACTAACCACATTTAGCTAGATGTTGGTCTGATCCTGTGTCTTGCCATATAATCCTACAGCCTGGAGATGTTCACACAGCTGTGGGAAAAATGGGATGCTCAGCCAGTCTGAAGGTCTTCACTCCTCCTGTCTAAGCATAAGCACTGGCACCTTCATTAGAGCATCTGAATTTTACTGGAGAGAGAAAACCAGAAAGAGAATGGCAGAGTTTGCCAGATTTGCCCTACAAAGCATTCAGAGCTAGGGTATTTTCTTTTCCTGGCTGCCTGTCAGATTGCTTTTCTTCTATATCACTGCTGCCTTCAGTGTGCTTGGTGCCTGCCGGCCCCACTGCTCTTCTGTCTCCAGCTGGCCCAAGCATAAAGGAAGAAAATTAGAGATTTCCAAAACTTTCTTCCTCTAGTCTGAGAGGAGCTGACAAAAGTCAGCTGCAGAGCCAGGAGCTCTGCGCTTCATTTGAGCTGTCTTACTTCCTTTAGCTACTGTGTTGAGTGATGTTATTAGACTACTTGCTCCCAAAAGCAATGCTTTTAGGACTAAGTCCAGAATATCTACGAAATAAAGGCAGCTTATGATCCAGGCACAGTTCCTATGGTTTTTAACTCTATCAGAGTGGTTGAATCACGAGAGAAAGAGGAAGGAACCATCTGGAACATATCCTTCAGCCTCCGGCATGCAGTGTTTGAGTGTTTTGATTGTCCCTTGTGACCTGGAAGCCTGTCCAAAGCTACTTCACCTACTCAAACCACAGAGGTCCATATGAGTAGGAAAGCTGTTCCTTCTGGAAGAGCTTCCAGAAAAGGTGCAGAGCGCATCCATTGGCAAGGATTTTTGGTCCAAGGGCTTCATGGGATGTTCTCATCACCTTCTGCAGGGGGTTGTGCACAAAAGTGCAGAGAAATCATCTGGTCTTCAGATGCTGTCTGGGAAAATTGGAAAGGCTCAGTCTAAACTGTGTCCAGGTGAAAACCACGCTAACAGTCACTCAGCGAGGCTGAATGTCCTTGGCAGCTATTAATTATTATCAGTCCCTTACTTCAACAGAGTGTGTGAGAGGCTTTCAAGTGCAGCATTCCACAATCTCTGTGCAAGCTATTATTGATTTGGCAAAAAAAAAAAAAAAAAAAGAAAGAAAGAAAGAAAGAAAAAAAAAAAATGGACAGTGATAAGTTTGTGTTTGGAGTAGGCTGGAAGGACGTGAATAAAACCATGAAGTCAGGAAAGAATGTGCTTGTTTTGAAGGACGTGTTACCTCTCGCTTGTTGGGTTTAACTATTACTTGACGTCAAGGCCCCTTTGCTACTTTTGGGAAGCAAATGATGGATGGGGAGAAAGCTTACTTTTGATGTATTTCATGGAGGAAAGTAGAATTAGTGATTACTGCATGCAGGCAAAGAAATCTAACATTAATTTATTTATGTATTTAGATTCAGTCCTCTTATAACAATTTTCTGAGAGACCTTGTCCAACTCAGTCACTGTATATTTTTCCATTGTTTCCCTGGATTCTCTGTGTTGGGAAGGAAACATGCTGCAGCTGTACAAAAATGCATGAGGCAGTTGTATCTCTAATAGGAGAAAAAATAGGGATCTGAATGGCTGGTGTAGTAACAGCCCTTGATCTTTGGCGCTGTGGTATGTCTTGCAGTTTCCTGGCATGGCAAAAAATTGAACCGCCCCGCTCACACAATAGCAGAGACCAAGCTTGTGATTTGCCTTTAATTTGCAGCTTGTGTCCCACTCTCCCCTTCTTCTTGCCCTCCTCCCTTTGTATTCCTCATTCACACTGTAATCAGAGGAGGGTTAACAAAATGCCACTGTGATTCAGGTTACAACAACTGCCACCATCTGTGCTGAATCAGAGAAGATGCAGCAGGGAGAAATGGCTCAAAAGGAGGAGACTTTCCCTTTAGAGGTGTTAAGCACAAGGGATTCACACAGCTTCCTTGAGGCAGCCAAATGCTATACATTTAGGGGGCAATCTCCCTGTGTAGCTGACAGCCAGAAGCGCATTGTGTGATAGTCAGGGTTGCAAGATATGAAACCTGTTCTTCCTCCCTGTCACTGGTGTGGTCCTTCACAAGCACATCGCATGAAGACAATGTCTATGCTAGCAAATCAACTAATACCAAACAGTTATCCCTAGGCACTGGTTCGCACGAGTATATCCACGCTATCAGAATGAGTCCTAGTGTGTTTTTAGCCCAGATGCACTGGGATTCTCCTCCAGAATTCTCCCGAGTGGCTTGATTGTTGGCAGGAGCCAGTTGCCACCTCCACTGACCACTTTGCAGCAACATGCCAAGTTACGAGATGAACCAGCCTGGCTGTGGGCTGCTCCTTGCCAGTTTGTTGAGAACAGGTCTCAGCAAAATGTCAAGTCCCAGCATAGACATAGCCGGTTTCTGTGGGTTTTTCCTTTGCTTTATTCCTCCTCGTTGCCAGAAGAGCCCTGCACGTGCCCAGCAGATGGCACTCCACTTCGGTTTTACACCGAAAAACCCCTCAGTGACCTGGCCCATCTAGGGGAGCAGGGCGATAGGTAGGGGCTGTCCTGCTCACCCAGTGATGC